GGTGCGCTCCGCCTGGAAGTCTGCACGCAAGGCGGCTCTGGCGAAGATGCCCAAGAAGAACGTGGAGGTGTTGAAGAAGTTCGGCTACGCGTAGTCCAAGACGGCTTGGAAGGGCGGTGTACTCAAACGCACTCGATTCATTTTGATTTATTTATTTGTAAACAAAAAAAAAAGATTGTATTCGTCTCGTTGTCTGCAGCAACTGCGGAGCAGGAAAAGGGGCTCCTTATTGTATGAGTATCATGTCTTTTTTTAATATGCTTTGTGTTTTTTTTTTGTGTGTGTTCCCCGTTCCCTTTTTTTTTATTTGTTTCGTGCACGTGCATTCCAGAATGCAAAGCGGCCGGAAGGGCAGAGTGGACTGGTAGTGTGCGCACAGCAAGCGTTAATAATAGGTGGAGGGGTAGTCCACGCCACATGCGAAGCGAGCCCGATTCAATGCAGCAAGACGATGGTGACGAAGCGCTTGAGGGGCATCGCCCCATGACGTGGGAGGAGTACAGGCTTCGCTACCTGTTAGAACGGGGCGTTTGGTGCCAAGAGCTGCGAGAGGGCGGCCAAAACGATCGGAGTTCCCCATCGATGCCACCCACCGGAGCCCCGTTCACCCGCGAACGACCGTCCCCACGGGGGCAACCACAACTGCAAGAACCACAGCAACAACGGCAAGTGCGACAACTTATACCCCCACTGCCAGCACTAGTGGACTTTTTGAGACGCTTTCATCCGAACCGTGACATGTTGATTGAATCTCTGCGAGTGTTTGGGCGGCTGCTTCTGGCAACCTTTCTTGTTTACAGATCGGTGACGCCATACAATGTTGCAATGATACTTGGTATCTATGTTGTATTGCTCGGAATTAAGTTTGTTCTGACTTCGATTCGTGTTGAGCGTGAGGAGATGGACGGCCCGCACGGCGCTGCACCCGCACCAGCGGTGGTCCACAATGCAGCGGTGCCCCATCACCACCACCACCATCACCGCGTCTCCCCCGTTCGAAAGGCAGTGTATATAGTAACACGTTGCATAACCTCTTTCCTGTTGAGCTTGTCACCAACATACTCGGTGGAGAAGCTGGAGGCGGAGTTGGTTGAAGATGGCATCGTTGTACCGCACTTGCACCAGGATTAGCTACCCGGCCAATGCCAGAGCCATGGGCACCGCAACGAAAATAAACGACGATATGAGAAGCCTCAGGTGATTTTTTTTTTTCGTTTCTCTTTTTTTTTTTGCTGATGCTTGCTGCGTCTTTGACGAACACAAGGCATGCCTAGCGTTTTGNTTTTTTTTTCGTTTCTCTTTTTTTTTTTGCTGATGCTTGCTGCGTCTTTGACGAACACAAGGCATGCCTAGCGTTTTGGTGTTGTTGTCCCTTCGTTCGTGCGCACACTGACGATAAATGATACTCCTCTGTGTTGTGTGCTGTGTTGCATGTCCTTCTGGGTCCTTTTTTTTTCTCTTTTTGGGCCAATCTGCACGTGGTAGGTGAAGGATACACCGACAATACAAGCATACTCTGAGCAACAAAAAGAGGGAGAAAGGGCTTCCATCAACTGTTCCACACAAGTGCAGCAGGGCACTGACATTAACTTCAGTCCCCCCCCCCC